ACCATAGACTTTGAATGTAAACCTGCTGCTCCTGACGCTGAAATCGCGTTTGGTGTGAACGCACCATAAGGATAGAAGAATAAATGTGTGTATGTGTGTGTGTGCCCTTGTTTTTGCTACTTGGTGGGGACGATTTTTCAGGAAAATGCGGGCCTAAAGCCCAGTCCCCACGACTTTAGAGGCTGATTTTGAGTGGGGGCTTAGGTTTAGGACAAAGGTTTAGGTTAGTTTTAGGGTAAATGGTCAGGGTTAGGATACAAAATTTCCAAAAACTGAAAGGGAAGTCGATGGAAAGTCCCCACAAGGATAGAAAGACATAGTAGGTGTGTGTGAGAGATTTGAGGTCAGTAATGATCTTTAGACAAAATGTCCTGTTTTTGTCTAAATTTAAGTTAGTTTAAACATAATAAATGATAATTTTACTAAAWTTGTTAGAGGCTCTTGGTTTTTATTTTATTTTATTTATTTAAAAACCTGTAAATCTTACCTTCAGTTATGTTTTGTAGAATGTATCTGCTTGTAGTTAGAGTTAGCAGATAAAGTAATTACTTGTGTTTGTAAAAAATAGTTTTTTTATGACATTAGTTTTTAGCAGCCACCTCTTGGAGTGTGATGGGAACCAAAGCTGGTTCTGATTTTTGGTGGACCCAGGGTTCCTGCAGATCCTTAAAAAGTCTTAAAAGGCACTGAATTAATCAATTCAAAAATAAGGCCTTAATTAGCCTTAAAATACCTTAAATTAACCTTTCAGAGGTCTTAAAAATGTTAACACATTGTAAATAGGATGACTGAATTTGTCTCAAATATTAAAATAATTGGTAACATTTATTTTTTAAAACAATTTACCAAATTTACCACGGCTAGTTGTTTTGCGTTAAAATTTGGGTAAAATAGTTTCAGTTTTTTTTACATTTGTGTTTATTGTGAAGTTAGTTTTAAATTTCCTTTCGAGTGGCATTAAAAATCATTAAAAAGTCTTAAATTGAACTTGCCTTCAGCTGCAGGAACCCTGTGGACCTGATGTCAGGTTCAGCTGAAGGCAGGGTTGTGTTGGTCATGTTTCATTTGTTTTGTATTTTTCAGACTATCCTCACGGCATTCGCCTGACGTCTGCGAACCCCGGAGGAGAGAGGAAGGTGCTGATCGTCTTCACGGCTCCGAGCCAGCAGGACCGAGCCCGCTTCACCTCCGACCTCCGAGAGAGCATCGCTGAGGTCCAGGAGATGGAGAAGTACCGGGTGGAGTGTAGGTGTTCCCCTGGCAGAGCTGCTGGCTTTTATTTATTCAGCTTTTATTAAATCAATCAAACTTTGTTTTTACAGCACATTTCATATGAGTCAAATACATTTTAAAGTGTTTTACAGCAAAAATAAAAATGTAAACCTCGTGGACACAGTTCTGCTGATCTGCTAAAAGCAGAACTAGCTTCTCATTAGGATTAGCTTTTTGCTAACTTTGGGACCGTTAGCAGACAGATTAGCTTTAGCTAAATTATAATTCATTAATTTTATATCCACTAAAACATTTCACAAGTGTACAACTTTGTATTTATTCTGTTTATCCTCAATTACATAAAAACTATCTCCTCTCACAAGCAGCGCTGCCCTTCCCTGTGATTCCTRGAAAAGGCGGGAATCACCACAGCAAACAGTGACTCAGCAGAATTTCATGCTATTCAACATCCTCCTCTTTGATCTGTTATTATGTGAACAGGAGTTGAATAAAAGTCTCTGCTGAGTTTTATACTTGTCCTGAAAAAATTTAGATGCCAAACAGGAAGAGGTTTTAACGTGGAGTTTCAAATTAAAGCTTATCACTATTCTTCAAAAATAAGAGCCTGGCTCTGTCCTTCTTAGATCATGGACATTAAGGACAAATATTTGACGCCGTTCCTCCGTCTCTCTCTGCAGCTGAGCTGGAGAAGCAGAAAGGTGTGATGCGTCCCGGCATCCTGGTTGGAGCGGGAGGGGTGGGCATGGCAGGGGGCGGGGCCAGCTCRGGCGGCGGTGGCGTGAAGAACGAGGTGGTGAACGGCACCCTGGGTAGGCCCAGCCTGGACGACACATACGCCTCGGTGGACGGACTCAAACGCACGGCGCTCAGCTCCTCGCTCAGAGATCTCTCAGAGACGGGTAAGAACAGGAGTCCTGGTCCAGTCCTGGTCAGTCCTGGTTCAGTCCTGGTCCAGTCCTGGTTCAGTCCTGGTCCAGTCCTGGTCCATTCCTGGTTCAGTCCTGGTTCAGTCCTGATCCAACCTTAGTTCAGTCCTGGTTCAGTCCTGATCCAACCTTAGTTCAGTCCTGGTTCAGTCCTGATCCAACCTTAGTTCAGTCCTGGTCCAGTCCTGGTCCAATCCTGGTCAGTCCTGGTCCAGTCCTGGTCCAGTCCTGGTCAGTCCTGGTCCAGTCCTGGTCAGTCCTGGTCCAGTCCTGGTCCAGTTCTGGTCCAGTCCTGGTTCACTCCTGGTCCATTCCTGATTCAGTCCTGGTTCAGTCCTGATCCAGTCCTGGTCTAGTCCTGGTCCAGTCCTCATTTAAAGTGGTCTGGATCAAAGGTTCTTTGGACTCTGCCTGCTTTTGAACAGGGGCGGAGCTTACATTCTTTACAAGGAGAACTYTAGATTTYAAAATTCAAGATGGCCACCACAGCTAATTCTAAATGGCTTTAATTCGGCTGTTTTAAGAAATGTTGAGCTGAAATTTTGGGCCAGTGCTAAGGATGATCCAAAAAATCGTGCTGAATGCTAAGAGAGCTATTCAGACACACGAAGCTGAAGATTAGTGTAGAAGTAGCCGAAAACAATCTTCACCAATTTCTAAGTGCCTATCAAAAATTCAAGATGGCCGCCACTGCTAACTTTAGAAGGCAAAAATTCAGCAATTTTAAGACTAAATGAGATGAAATTTGTTGTAGCGTATTTAAGAATGGTCACATGTTGAATATTGACGTGTTTCTCAAATTAAGCTAACCACTAATGCTAATTTTACAAACTGCTGAAATTCCGCCATTTTTAACCATAAACAGCTAAAATATTTATGTAGTACAGTCAGTATTATCAGAACAATATTTAACAAAATCTAACTGTGAATAATTTTTTTTGGGGGGGTGGCACCTGGGGGGGCCGATCAGGTGCCCATCCCCAGCACCCCTCTGGCTCCGCCTCTGATTTAAACCCAGTCGTTCAGTTACTGAAGCCAAAGTCTTTGTGAAACGTTTAGATGTTTAAAGGAGGAGTTGTGTATCAGACGTTTTATTTCAGTGACGCACATCAGAGCCATAAACTCATCAGGTGGGATCTTTCTCAGCTTTTATTTCTCTGACTCACTTCTACATCTGTGCTGTTATGTAACGATGATAAAACCCTCTGATGTTCTGAGGAAGTGTCTCCACCTGCTGGACACACACACACAAACTGCATCAAACTTTAAAGGTTGTTTACGTTTTTTTAAAAGATTGTTATTTATGATTAATTGTTCTGATTCTAATCAGAAACTCAAGAATCAACTAACAGTTGTACGGGATAAATCTTGTGCCAGCAGGAATTGAATTTGAATTGCTAAGATTGAATCTGATTGTTCATAATTTGAAATTGAATTTAAAGTATTGTATCTGAATTAATTTACTTTGAAACTGTATTTTGGTTTATTAAAAATTCAGTTTGACTACTTTTACTTTCAGTTCCATAATTCAGATTTTTGTGTCACATCCTGGTCCTTGAGAAAGCCAGGCAGAGTAATCAAACACAGATCCACAGATTTATGTTTCACTTTGGTGAAGTTTCCCTTCTGGATGTAACAGAGTTGATGCAATCCACTGTAAAAGTGACAAAAACACACAAAGTTATTTTATTGCAGTGATTAATTTGACCTRTATGTAGAAAATGTTACATTTACATGATGACATCATGGATCAGATGCTGCTGACTGATGCTGAAACTAATGCATTCAGTTTCAAATTATGCACATTCAGATTCAATCTGACCAATTCAAAATCAATTTCTGCTGACATGAGATTTATCTCATAGTGTCAGAAGGTTACTGATATTCTGTCAGGAATTAAATCCTTCTGGAAACAAGGTTCTATGAATCCTTCAAAATAAAAGTATTCTTAATTTCATCTCCATGGAAACCATGTTTAGCATTCAGACAGGAAGCTGCAACAGTTAGCCTAACAACACCGGAGGTTCACTGACGAACATTTTATTTAAGTATTAAATTAAATTAAATTAAATTAAATTAAATTAAATTAAGTTAAATTATTTTAAACTTTTAGCCTGATGTTTTCTGGGGAACGAGTTTTAACTGCCTGATTCTGATTGGACAACAGGGAAGCGAGGTCGTAGGAACAGTGTGGGTTCATTGGACAGTACCATTGAAGTAAGTGTGTCGGTGGGCGGGGCTTAAAGYATGCATGAACTCATTGCACGCTGTGGCTGCATGTTGACTGAATGAATGTGGTGTTTCTGCGGGGGTCTCTTCGGCTGCATGGACCTGGTACTGGACTCCGTCTTCAGCTTTCAGTTTGAAAAGTCTGTTTTTGGGTTTATTCTCAGTTAGTTTGCATGTTTTRTATTTACAGATGTTAGAGTCGTAGATGTTAGCGCTGCTTTATATCGTTATTTTTTACCAACAAGCTGAAACGTTTCCTTTTTCTCAACTTCTGGTCCTGTAGGTGTATATTTGTAGTTTTTATTTTAACTCCGCCCTCTGCTCTGTTTGCTTCCTGTTCCTGTCCTCAGGGTTCCATTATTAGCAGCCCCCGGCCGCACCAGCAGCGCCCCCCAGTGGCTGCCAGCCTGTCCTACAGCCCCATGATGGTGCCTTCTTCTCCAGCAGCTTACCGGCCACACCGCCCTACTCAGAGCCCCGGTACAGGGGTGGGGGGTGGGCCGGGGCTCTGTCACAACCAAGGAGGGGTCAGCACCTCTCCTCTCGCGAGCGGGGGAGGGGCTGGGGCCGGAGGAGGGATGGTGGGTGGGGGTGGCCCGACTCCAGGAAGCCGAATGGGGAATTTCTTCGGCAGCCGAAGAGGCAAGGTTCCTGGTCCCCTGACGATGATGTCACCCCCACCTCAGGGTCCTCCGAGTCCTCTGATGATATCGTCACCCCCACACTACCCCGCCCCCGCGCCTCCCATCCCCCTCCCCTCCTCCCCTTCCCCATGCCCCTCCCCTTCGCCCAACCTCGGTCCGTCCGACTCGGGCGGAGTTGGAGGGGGCGGAGGTATTGGAGGGGGGCCGTCCAAGCTCCAGGCTTTGCACGCCCAGTACTGCCACGTCAACAGTGGAGGAGGCGGAGTCAGTGGGCACCCGCAGCAGCAGACCCCGCCCCCTCCCTATCACCACCATCACCGTTACCACATGCAGAGCGTCCCGCAGCACCACGCCCTGACGCACCGCTTCTCCGCACCCCAACGGCAAGGCTGCGTCCCCCCCCACCCCCTGCAGCTGCAGAGGCTGCCGCCGGGCTCCGCCCAGCACCCGCGCTACAACATGGCGGCTGGCTTCACCACGCCCCCGCCRCTGTCCCCACACTCCCCCGTCACCCCTACTACCCCGCACGGACTCTATCACCCGGGCCGGCCGGGGGGCGGCGCCAAGCTCCCGCTGACCATCTCGCACTCCCAGCCCCACCCCCACGCGCACACKCACTCTCACAACCACGCCGTGCACATACACTCCCCCCTCAGTCCCTCGCCGTCCGCCAACGCCTCCACCCACTTCACCTTCTCCACCCCACCGCCGCAAACTCCCTCGGCCCGCCTCGTCAGCCAGACGGCCCCCCAGCCCTACGCGCCTCAGTATCCACCCCTGTCGTCTATCCCGCCTCCCCCTCCGCACTCCCCCTTGCCTCCCCCGTCCGCCGCCCCGCTCTCCCCGCTGCCCCCAGGGGCGGGGCAGGGCGGCGGCCCCAAGGCCAAGCCCGTCAGCCGGATCAGCACGGTGGTGTGAGGCGGCAGTCCTCGGGGGCCGTGATTGACCCCGCTACCAGCCACCAGGGGGCGATAGTGAGACTGAGCACCCGCAGGAAGAGGAAGAGGAGAGGGGGAGGGCAGGTGCAGGTGCTTCAAGACAACCGCCTGATGAAGAGGAGGGCAATAAGAGCAGGAAAGAGGAAGCTACTCAGCCTGTGTTATTTTCATATCGACTTTCCTCACAGATGAAACGAACATCTGGACGACATTTTGATGAACTTTGATCCCTGCAGGAAAAAAAAAACCTTCTGGTTCAGAAAGATGAAGGAGAACTTCTGCTTTAGTGTTCATAACATCCTCATCTTCCCTTCATAGATCCCTGAGCCGGCGGACATGTTTGTAGTCCTTCAGACGGAACGTTGGCTCTCTACATGTCATGGTGAACAAACGTTCAGCGACCGGACCTGAAGGGACCCAGACCTGGAGGGACCCGGACCTGAAGGGACCCGGACCTGAAGGGACCCGGACCTGAAGGGACCCGGACCTGGAGGGACCCGGACCTGGAGGGACCCGGACCTGAAGGGACCCGGACCTGGAGGGACCCGGACCTGGAGGGACCCGGACCTGGAGGGAACCAGATGAGGGTTAGAGCGAACGACCATCCTGGGTTAAAGTTCAGGGTTTTCTTTTTGAGAGCAGGAAGAGTTCTTAAACAACCAATCACAGTCTAACTCCGCCCTCGTTTTGAGTTTGGACATGTCTAAAAGCCATGAGGCGTGAACAGAAGTGGTTAGCATCAGTATCGCTGTAGTTTCTGTGTTTTAGAGCGGCATGCGTGTCCTGTGCAACATCTACTGAGTATCGATGTCTGTGGGTAATATTCAAACGGAGGGATTTGTCGCGGTTTAAAAACCCAATCCAGCATTTATTTGGACACTTTATGTGGACGATAAACTTTTTAAGACCTTTAAAAAAGCCATCAACAAATCTACAGGTGTCTTTTTACCTTTTTGACTGAAAGCTTTGTGTTTGTGGATTACAGGGTTTCAGCAGGGGGCACTGAGCGGGACTTCTCCAGTTTCCCGACATTATTTATGCATTTTTTAGGTTAAATCCCATTAAACCTGTAAATGTTCTCCCCTTTAATCAAGTATCCCAGTGTATATGAAGTAACACAATCTGTCACCTGTATTTTGTGCTCATGATGTGTGAGAGTTTGTAAAGTTGCCAGAGAAGGAGATTAAGCTGAAAGGTGCCAAAATAGAAAAATATCATCTTTTTCTTTCTCTGATTATCCGACACTGATGCAGGCAGGGAGCTCCAGTATCTAAAACAAGTGATTTTATTTTGTAATATTCAGGTGAACGTGGCTCTAATGTCCTCATTAATAATGTTAATAAAATAAAACTGGGTGAGAAATTAACTTCAAACAGTCATCATGTCATCAACAAAACCAAAACCTTCATTAGAGTTAAAAACACTTGAAGAAGTGCATCATGTGTGCCAAGGCTTTAGTGTAAAAGACACAACTCTCAGCTACTACCATGCCGAACTTTAGCTCATTATCTGTAAAACTGACTGAGTTTTGTCACTTTAGCGACCGCTAATGTCTGTTAGCTTTAGCCGTCGTACTGAATCAAGCTGACTCCAATAGTTGATGATGGTTTCATTAAAATCAACTGGTCCATGAGATATTTTGCTAACAGACAGACAATCGAAAAGTATTTTTTTGTGAGATGAGACCCTGTAGCTCAGATTGTTTCACTCCAGCTCAGTTTTAGCCGTACAGCTAAAACACAAGAGACAGTAAGACCCCAATGACCCTCAGGAGGGAGGAGAGGGAGCAACTAAACATCTTCAACAGTCAGAACGACGCCCGGCTGTCTTCAGTTGAATTTATTTGGCCGTACGAGCCGAAGTTCCTGAGAGGAACCCTGGTTCTTTTTAAAAATTTATTTAAAAACCGACACCGACAGTAGTTTAGAAACTAGCAAAGATTCCCTAAATGTAAGTGAAGCTTTTTGTATGCAAGATCAGAAAAAAAATCCCGTTAAACATCTACCAATCCTTGTCGGAAAGAAAACTGATTACAGACACTTAATTTCCCACCCAGTCTGAACTGTTTCTAAACAAGACAAAAAGTTCTCATGGGGGCACATTTAGGGCCTGGTGCCTTCAAACCTGAGGATGGTACAGCATCAAATCACAAGGAATAAGATTAATTACAACCCACTGTGGGATGAAAAGACAATTCAGCATCAAAGTTGGTCTATTGGAAAAATAAAACTAAGCCATTTACTTTTTAAAACATGGCTGCTGGACTGAGCCTTTCACAGCCCAACAAAGACACAACGGACCTAAAACCTGGACCTAAATTCTTCTGAAAGGACTTGAGATCATCTCACTGGACTCAAACTGAAACCGTACGTTCATTAGCCAGCATCAAATGAAGAAACTCACCTTTAAACAGTATTTTTTAAATATACTTGACGGAGTCAGTGTTTAAGTTTTTTATTTTTCTCTTGTTTTCCATATACTGAGGACCACTGGATGTTTGAAGGCCTTGATGGCCGGAGAAAAGTTCTTCCACCTGAACAACTTTCCATTTTCTGACTTAAAACTAAACATCAGTGCTGGTTTTTCTCAGCTTCATGTATAAACTACCAGCATTTAACCAGATGAAGGGAAATTCTTCTGAATGCAAATGTTTCTTTGTGGATGCACCGGCTGTAGATAATACCTGTACAGTGTGTTCTGTTTTTAGTGGGGCCAGCAGCATCCRGCTGGAGCTGACCTCTCAGATTGCTTGAATTAACTCAATGAATGCTCTCAAAAAGACTAAAGTCCATCTGGGTTCTTCAGGCTGCTTGGGATTTTTACACCAGAAACCTAAAACTTTTGTTTCAGCTTCTTTTTGTTCAGGTTTCACATCATGGAGTTGTCTTTGGGCTCCTGCTGTCTTCAGCCTGAAGAACCTCTTCATGGTTGGTGTCTCACCGGGCTGCGACTGTTGGAGAGTCTCCAAAATGTCTCCAGAGGTTTCGTGGAGTTCTTTACCTTCCGGCAGCACACACAGAGGTTCACAACCACTTGTCATATACATTTAAACATACTGAAAAATTTTTTAAATAAATTTCCTCTTAAATTAGCTGCAGAGTTGTTGCGGACATGTCAAACTCTTCTCACTTTAGTTTCTGTAAAACTTAAAGCACTAGAGTTGTATTTTGATATTTGCAGATGCTCCTATTATGATGAAATGTTTGGTTCTAAAAACCACAAGATAAGGCAGTCGTACCATTCGATAGGCAGTCATACCATTCGATAAGGAAGTCGTACCATTCGATAAGGCAGCCTTACAATTCAATAGGTAGTCGTACCATTCGATAGACAGTCGTACCATTCGATAAGGCAGTCGTACCATTCGATAAGGCAGCCTTACAATTCAATAGGTAGTCATACCATTCGATAGACAGTCGTACCATTCGATAGACCGTCATACCATTCGATAGACAGTCGTACCATTCGATAGACCGTCATACCATTCAATAAGGCATTTATACAATTCGATAAGACAGTCGTACAATTCAATAGGTAGTCGTACCATTCGATAGGCAGTCGTACCA